GGCTGGTAATAACCTCTGTCTCTGTGTAGTTAATTGTCTTAGTTTTAATGTCACTTATTACTTTGTTGGGTCCAATTGGTGCAGGGTCATAGGGAATAGGTTCTTTCTTAATAATTATTAGGTTTCCCAAATCGTGTCCCTCTATCCAATGTCTAATTCCCCATGTCTTTCCCAACAGCCATCCCGGGTCATTTGGATGAATAACATTGAGGTATATGAAAGTACAGTTCCCCAGTAAATCTTTCCCTGTCCATGGCCATTCTTGTGGCTTTACACATCCAGCTGGTCCATATCCCACCCTTAGGTATTTATCCGACCCTCCTCCCGGGGCCCATGCCGATGCTATTGTCTCACAACCCCAATAACCACAGTAGTAATGCCTGGGGAGGTTACAATATGACCTCCCTAAATTTGAAGCAGGGCACATATAGAAACTTGTCAAATTTAACAGCCACCCACAGCTTGGATTTTTGGTCATGTTACATACTCCAGCTTTAAAGCTTGGTGCCCCGGGGGTTATCACAGTCTGCAGGTTATAATGAGTATCATGATTTTCCCACCTACTTAATGTCCATTTAAAGGGTTCATGGGTTTCAGTAGCAACACTTTGGAGAGGAAAGCATATCATCACAAATGTAAGAATCTTTAGAGCTGAGTAGTACACACTGCAGGGGATGCTGCTTATCATGCCCAATTTCACATTCCTACTTTTTCTCATTCCATTGTCACCATTCCCGTGCCTATGGTGGTCAGTGTTTTTTCTTACGATTTGGGAGGATCCCCCATCCCCACTAGCTATCTCTCTGTCTCTCCTGTCAACTTGGTTGCTACAAGCTACAGGGTAGGCCATCTTCTTGACAGCAGAGATATTCTTCAGGGGCGGGATTATTTCCTCTCTCCCACTTCGACCTCCCGGAGCTCCAATTTTTCTCATTTAATTGTGGGGTGTCGCACCTCAGTCCCTTGACCAGCCTGCGACACTTGACCTGGACTATGTCCGTAAGAAATGGACTTGAAAGCTCGTTGGAGTGGTAGCAATGGAATTCAGGATTTATTCCCTTCACAAAAATTTCCCACCACTCGGGAGATTCTTTAGTCAATTCCCGAGTGGCGACCTTATAATTCAATATTTCAGAGGTCAACTTGCGTTGTTCTAGCCAGCATCGCTGACACACACTTTTTGGAGCCCTCCCCTTTCTACAGTGAGCCCACCACAGCCCTTTACAAATTTTACAAGAAAAGCAAGCAAAAGGGAAACAATCACAATCTAACCAGCTACATTTTACTCTAATATCTTCATGCTCAGCATGACCCTCCCCTTCCCAAGGTCTCTGCTCCCTTTCGAATCGGATGGGCCGATAATAGGGCTGCTGAGCTAAGTCTTCTAAATGCTTACAGTATCCTGGGGGTTTTGTTTCTCCTATCAGTTGTGTTTGCAATCCCCAGTCATTCCCGACCCAAATGTCCCCGGAACTGTCAGTGTCCATTAAGATTACTTGAGGGTTCTCTTTACTGTTAGCTTCAAATCTCCCGGCTTCCCATCAATCTTCCAGCTCGTCTCTCTGGAAGTTGCATGAAATCGAGTCGGGTCCACTGGCCCCTTTATTCTGCTAGCATGGGTCCATCCCTTTTCTGCCGTACGAACTGCGGAATCAGTGGTGATTAAAACCAAATACGGTCCGTCCCACCTTGGGGTGATTGAATCTTCTTTCCAGCTTCGGATGAGAACCCAGTCGCCGGGTTGTACCTGGTGTAATACAAGATCTAGTGGTGGTCTTTGGGCCCACATCCCCTTTTCCCATAACTGTTTCTTGTATTTAATTAAAACAGTTAAATATTTGTTAATACTTTGGTCAGTGATATTAGGATTAGATTGAACTTTCTCTAGGGAATAGGGCATCCCATATAACATTTCAAATGGGGAAAGCCCTATGTCTGATCGTGGTTGAGTCCGAATATTTAATAATGCTAGTGGCAGACATTTTATCCAAGATAACTTAGTTTCTAGTACCAATTTAGTGAGTTGTTTCTTAATTTCTCCATTCATTCTTTCCACCCTCCCGGAACTCTGGGGGTGCCAGGGAGTATGTTGTTCCCATTTTATGCCCAGGGCTTCTGCCAGCAGCTGTGTTATTTTTGAAGTGAAGTGGGGGCCTTTATCAGAGTCTATTGTTTCTGGGACTCCATACCTGGGTATTATTTCTTCTAGCAGGGCCTTTGTCACCGTTCGGGCTGTCTCCCTAGC